CAGCGCGCGTGCGCCCGCCCTGCCCGGCCGTTCGCCTGAGCGCGGGGCATCGTGGGGCGGCGAGTCCAAGGCTGGCGAGACTGCGCAGACGGGGGCACGCAGGGGACTATAGCTCCCGGCGTACACCGCGCCCCCGCGCACTGCATGCCGGGAGCTGTAGTCCCCTAGCGGTCAGGCAGCCGGAAGTCCCGCCGGCGGTCGGAAGTGCCGCTGCCTTCTCGCTCACGGAGGGGCGTCGAAAGCAGCGGGACGGAACGGCGGCACTGAAGGCGGAGATGGCAATCGGATGAACCTTTTATTGAGTCGGAGATCAGCGGGGAGCGCGCAGTGCCTCGGGGTCGGCTCCGGCGGGGCTCAAGCCCCAGAGGGTGCAGCTGTATGGGGAGGCCTGTGAGGCTGCCAGAGGCCCGTGGGCCCGCTGCCTAATTTCTCTGCTCCCCGTCATCTCTCGCCGTCTCGTTCTCCTCCGCTGGTGGATGGCTGTTGTCACGGCTCTCTCCCTCACCCTCTGAGTTGGTTTCGTCAGAGTCATCCTCCTCCAGGTAGCGGTACCCGCTGGCCCTGTGGCGCGGACGTGGCATGCGGGGCAGGCGGAAGGCCACGCGCTGTGCCAACCGGCGCTCCATCCAGCCATAAGAACCTGCCGCCAGCCCCAGCGCCAACAGCATGAGAGACAGCTTGGCCTAGGGGATGGAAGGGATCAGCATGTGGGACAGCCTCACCGCGCCCGGCCCTTGCCCTGTCCCAGCCCTGCTCACCTTCATAGGCAGCCCTGACCACAGGTACACAACGAAGATGGCCAGTGCCTGCCACCAGTGGTAGATGGTGAAGACGAAGTCTTGGCGCTCTTTGTCTTCATACAGCATGCCCAGGAGGACTAGGTGGAGGGAGGCAGGCACACGCTGTCAGCATCCCCAGCCTATGTCATTGTCTTCTGATAATTACTAGTGAGCCTACAGAGCTGGGGACCACTGGGGCACACAAGGACAGGACAAGCTGGGGACAACAAGCCCTACCCACAGAGCTAGGGAACACTGAGGGGCATGAGGACAGGATGAGTCAGGAACAACCTGCCCTACTCAAAGGGCTGGAGGCCACTGGGGGACACAAGGACAGAGTGAAGTGGGGACAACCCACTCTATTCATGGAGGTGGGTACCATCGGGGGACATGAGTACAGAATTAGTTGGGGACAACCTGCCCTACCCACAGAACTAGGACTACCAGAGGACACAAGAACAGGATGAGCTGGGTACAACCTACTCCACCCATGGAACTGGGGACCACTGGCCAAGATGGTCTGGAAACAACTTGCTCACTCCTGGGGACGCCAGAGACTGTACTGGGACATTCCCACTACTCACTGCTAATGCCAGTCTTGTTGAGGGCACTGCCCATTCCCCAGAGTGCGGCTATGGTGTAAAGCAGAGGTGCCTGCTCCACTTGTCGGGGCGTAGGTGCCCAGCAGAAGAGCGTCACCAGGATAGAAGCGTGGAGCAAGGCTCCGGCCAGCAGTGGGTACTGACGTCGCAGGCGCAGCATGAAGAGAGCAAGGCTAGAGCAGGTGGAGGCGGAGAAGCCGTAGGCGATGAGGAGGTATGCCAGCTTCTCCAGCCCCAGGGTGCACACGCCATAGTTCTGCATCGAGGACAGGCTTAGCATCATGCAGCCATGCCGTCCCCATGCCACCACCCCATCCCAACTCTATGCTGTACCAGGGAGAAATCATTGCAGACGAAGAGCACCTCAAAGCCACTGTAGATGAAGAAAGGAAGGAGGTGGCGGAGGCGATAGTCCCGCATGTGCTTGAAGGGCAGCTGGAATATGTTCCCCCAGCCTATGCTGCGCAGATCAATCTCCTCAGTGGTCCGATACGCCGAGCCGCAGAGCAACAGGACCTGTGTTGTAGTAGCAGGTGACATGCTGATGGCCACCTGCCCCATCCTGTCCCATCTTACAACCAGCCCACAGCAGGAGGTTGGAAATGGAAAATCTTTAAGGTCCCTTCCAACCCAAACCATTCTCTGATTCTACAATCCCGTGCTCACCACCAGCATGGCAAGGAAGGCAGCTGCCATCAGGACGCTCTCCACCACGATGAGGTTGACGCTGCGAGGCAGACTGTGCAGCACCGTCTTATTGAAGCCAGTCAGCGTGCCGTGGCTCAGGGTACCTGCAGGGGCGTGCACGGTGGGCTCAGCACTGGCCAGGACTGTGCCAACACCCCATGGTGCCGCCCCATGTGCTCACCACAGTGCTTCACCCCGTAGAGTGTGTGGTTGAGCTGGTAGATGTAGTTGTTGAGGAAGAAGAGCGTGGGCATCTGCGCGCAGACGAAGCTCAGCTGCAGGATGCAGAGTGGTGGACATTCAGCACTGGGCTGTTCCATTTGTTCCCTCCCTGTCCCCGCTGGCCCTCACGTGGAAGCAGATGTAGAAGATGGTCTGGAAGACGACAATGTAGGCACTGCAGGCTCCACGCGGTGCTTGCCGCTGCTCCTGCACGTGCTCCTCCTTGTAGTTGGCATACTCGTAGTACTTCTGTGCCATCCTGTAGCAGAGTGTGGGTCAGCCTCTGCCCTGTCCCACTGTTCCCTTCTCCCCCTGCCACCTACCGCGTAATGTAGTTGCCCAGGGAGGCCCAGAGTGGCACGATGGCCACCCCGATGGCCACAGCAGAGGGCACCAGTGTGAAGTAGCGCTCCCAGTAGTTGCTGGAGACAAAGAGGGCATAGATGCCCACGGCCAGGAACATGGTCCACTTGGTGCCGAAGAACCGGATGAGGACAGGAGTGTAGAGCAGCGCCACCACGGGGGTGACATTGATGCCCATCAGCACCTTGCGGTCGATGTCCTCCAGCTCCATGTTGCTGTACTTCACCTCCCGGTAGGTCTCGTCATAGTGCAGGATGAGCTGCATCTGCAGCAGGCCTGGGGAGTCCCAAATGCCATCACGTCACTGCCCCACTGACATCAGAGGGTTCCCCGTTCTGGGGCCGGGGCCGTACCCAGGTAGACGCTGTAGGTGAGCATGGCGGCCAAGCTGGCAGCCAGCACGTTCTTCACCACGCCAAGGCGCTTGCGGCGGAAATATTTCTGCTCCTCCTCCTCCTCATTGTAGTCCGTGTGCGCTCCCACCATGTCGTCCAGCTGTAGGAGCCCCCTGCTCAGCCACGGGGTGCCACCACCCTGTGTCACAACCCCGTGTCACCTCCCTGCCTCACCTGTGCCTCAGGGCCCAGCATCTCACCCGCTGCTGTTTTGGCCACATCCTGGCAGCAGCCGGGGTCCTTCTCCATCGCTGCTGTGTCTGCGGGGCACTCTGGAGGTGTTGGGGGTGCAGAACATGTTCCTGTGGCCCCGAGCCCTGCACCCTTGGGCTCTGCACCCTCAAACTTTGCACTCCTGTCCAGCACCCCCTGCTGCCCACACCCCCTCGTTGGGCAGCCATTATTCCTCCCCCCTTACACTGCACACCCCCCAAACCTTGCACCCAGCACCCTTGAGACGCCGCACCCCCATACTCTGCAACTGCATGCCTGGCCCCCCGTAAACCATGGCACCTGTAGGTTCTGCATCCCTAAACCCTGCGTTCATGAGAGCCCTCACAACACATGCTCTGCACCCATCATTCATTCACCCCCAAACCCTTCATCTATGAGCCCGGCACCCCCAAACCTTGCACCCATGTTCTCTGCACCCCGAAACCTTTTGCCCTGCACCCCTTAGACACTGCACCCATGAGCTCCGCTCCCCTACACCCTCTGCCTGTCACTCCTCCATCCTCGCACCGTTCGGTCCCAAACCTGGCACCCGGCACCCTCGCACCCCCGCGTCCGGCAACTCCTACCCCACAGCCCCGAGCTCAGCACCCCGGCCTGGCTGCCGCCCCGCTGTGCCCGGCTCGGGGCGGAGCCGCCGCAGCTTCCTCTTTCGAACGGGGCGGGCGGGACGGGGGCTTAAAGGAGCCGCTCCTGGAACTCCCGGGACCCCATATTCCCACCAGCACCCAATTTATGCTGCTCCTATCCCATCGCCACATGGAAGAGGCACGTGGCCCTTCTCGACCTCTCTCTCCTGTTGTCACCTGTCTGCTTGTGTCCCCTTGTCACCCACGTGTCCCCTGTTCTTCCCCCCCTCCCGCCTGTGTGCCCGTATCCCCTCCGGCAACCCATAAACGGGAGCCAGGAGGGAGTCCGGCAGCTTTGCTCCCTCCCTGTCATCGGTCACCCGCAGCCAATGGACAAATCTGGCCGAGCCGGTACTAAAGGAATGTCACACAGCGGGATGGGGACAGGGACAACCCCAGGAGGGGTGTGGGATGCCTCCCGTGCCCTCTGTGACCCTAAACCCAGGCTGAGAGGTGAGCGGAGCCCCACATTGTGCCCCCAAATACTTATTTGGGGTCCGGGAGTGCCAATCTCCACTTTCCCCTTTGCCACGGGTCACGTGGAGCATCTTGGCCATGTGCATGTCCCACACCACAGTGAGGGACCCTGTGCATGCAGCATCTAAAGGACAGCACTGCAGCCAAAACCCCAAATCAACCCCGAATCTCCCTGCAGATGGTGGATATGGGCCAGGATGTTCCTGCACTGAGGCAGGGGCTACTCAGGGCTGGGCTCCATTCCCCCAAGTGCAGAAGCACTTTGGGGTAAATCCCTATACTTGGGGGTACTCCTTGGGATTTGGGGGCAGCACCACCCCGCTGTTCTGGCATAGTGCATGGGGCAGGGCTGCTGCCTTCCTGTTTACATAGCAGCGTTATTAATTAGGGCGTGCAGGGAGCCAGAGTGAGTGGAGGGGAGGTGGGTGTGGGGTGAGCTTGGGGCTTGTTCCAGTAATGATGGGGTGGACGTGGGCATAGGAATGGCATCGTGTCCCCATGGGGTCTGCTGAGTCCCCTGGATCAGGGGTGGCTCCGGGGAGCAGAGTGAGTGGTTTCTGTGGGGTATCTGTGGGTCAGGGCTCACAGTGATGGTTTGGTTGTTCCCCAGCTCCACTATCCCACTGGGAGGTCCCGGTCCCACCCCATCCCAACATTAGCTACGTGGAGGCGGGCTGCTCTCTCCTTATTGCCAACCCCATGGAGGCGGGGCATTATCCTGCCCACCCCTGGACATGTGGCCAGGCCACCTGCCCCACAGCATTTATGAGGGCCACCCTGAGCTTCGGCAGTGCCAACCCAGCTTTGTGCTCCTCCAGCCACCGCTCAGCCCCACAGGTAGGTACCTATGTGGCACTTGGCTGCCCCTTGGTTGGACTTTGCCTTTGGTGGGTTCCCTTGAGGGAGGGTGGATGCGTTGGGTATGGAGAGGGACAGAGAAACGGATGTGTGGCTGTGGGTATCCCCTGCCCCGGCCCCCTAGCCATGTCTGGGCAAGTCTTCAGTGAAAGGGGGAGCGATACTATGCCCACTGGTGCGTTGGGGCAGTACCAGTGCTGCCCTGTAGTGGGGTGTGTGGGGAACCCAACAGGCCATCCTGAGATACCTCCCTGCATTGGGATCCTCAAGACCGACCCTACATCTGTGGGGCAATCCTGTGGCTGGAGGCCATCCGGGGAGGGGGGAAGGGTATGGGAATTCCAGGCATCTCCAGCTGGATGCTTCAGGGCCTCAGGCAGCCACACTGGAGTGACTCACGCTTCAGTCTGGAAGTCCTCAAGGACCCAACTGCCTTCAAAGGGCCACTGTGGACATGGTGCTGTGCTGCGGGGTGGCTGCTCTGCATCTCCGAGGCTTCCTTGCAGTGACTGCAGACCCCACTGGGGGAGGGAAGAGCACTTGCATAAGTTTACCATCCCCATACCTCTCCCCAGGGCCCGTGTAGACCATGCAGCAGCCCCTCCAGCTTCCCGTGCAGCAGCCCCCAGGCTGTGGTAAGAGCAGCCTGCTGAGCAGCAGTGCCGGCGCAGCTGGTGCCATCCCGAAAGGGCCAGTGGTCTGCAGCACTGTCAGGTGAGAGCGAGGGGCTGGGGACAGCAGGGGATGGGGCAGTGGCATGGAGGGGTGTGGGTGTGGGTGCTGCAAGGTGCTGGGATGCAAGGGACAAACATGAGGAGCCATCAGGCACCAGGCCACAGTGGGATCCTGGGGAGCCGAGTTTGGAGACAAGGTGAGCATAGGGAGCTCCAGCTCTGAGGGAGGGCACAGATGGTGTGGGATGAGGCTGGGACGCAGAGCTCCTCTCCTTGGCACCTGCAGCACGGAGGACTGGGAGAGGGCTGGGGTACCCCTGACGTCCCCACTCCCACAGCGGGAACCCCTATGCGGGGCTGGTGAGCCACCTGCGGGCAGCCTGGCTCTCGGGGAAGACACGGCCCTTGGAATACCGTGTGGCACAGCTGGAGGCCCTGGGCCGCTTCCTGGAGGAGAAGAAGCAGGACATCCTGGAAGCCACTGCGTTGGACATGGGCAAGGTGAGAGGAGTCGGGAATGGGCACCGTGTCTGCATCTTGGGGTCCTGCATTCCTATATGATGCTGCTGTGGGGCATTCAGACTGCCAAGTCCCTGAGTAGCTCCATGTCACTTCTACAGTGCCCTGGTTGCAGAGGCTGTAGTCAAGGGTGCTCCTCACATGCCTGGTTGCAGCAGGGATTACTGGTGTTGTTCAAGGAGCTGATCTTGCACATTCCTCCCATGTACCAGCCATGCAGGGGTTGATCTTGCTGGCTTGGTGTTGTGGCACAAGCGAGGACCTTAGGGACAATGGCACCTCAAGAGCCCCTGAGTGATCTGTCAAGGAGGCAGGGTGCCTCCCCACTGGGGACAAATTCAGTCTATGGTCACTTTTTCCCTTCCTGGTGTGCTGTGCAATTTGGTCAGAGATTGTTAGAAAAGGTTTCTGAGGGGTTGGAGCTGCATCTGTGTGTGGCTGTGCCCGCAGATGGCCTCAAGCATCTCAAAATCCCATGCTTCTAATTGCCTTGTTTGTTTGAGGTGAGAAACTTCAGCTTCAGACAGGTGCTGATAAGCACTGACACTCAACATGCGTTGTTCGTCTCTCCTAATTGTACATAATTAGAACCGGTTGCCCACTAACGTGCTTGTTATGCAGTCAGGTCTTCATAGCTGGATGGACAATTCATCTGCTCTTACGTATCTGAGGTGGCTGCCTCGCCCGTTTCTCTCCCGATGATGGAAGAGTGACCTCAGATTTAATGTCTCATACACTAGACTTCTGTCCCATCAGAACCCTTAATGGCCACCATTAATCTTCACCAGCAGTTTCCTCATCCTCCGGTGGTGCAACCAGCCGCCCAGGCTGAGAGCAGCCCCGTTGCTTCACCACGCAGCTGATACGCTGAGGAGCCAGGGAGGTCTCCTGGGCTGGGCTTGGTGGTGGAGCCTCCAAGCAGAGGGGTCACAAACTCCACTTTCCCCCCTGTTTTCCTGCTGTGATGAAGGAAAGCTCCCACCAGAGATGCTTTGTGGTCTGGAGGCTATCACAGTGGAGGCTCTGCAAATAACTCAGCACCAAAGAGTTTTGCCCTGTGTGGTGACGGAGGGAAGTTAGTCCTGCTGAGCTAACTCCTCATGTCCTCATGCTTCTCCATCACAAACTGACTCTGCCGTGCTTCTGTCAATGGAGAGGACCTGCATAGGCAGGAAATGCCTCCACAGAATTGCGCCGCTCCCAGCTCACCGTGATTTTAGTCACCGTGTGTTGAGATGGCGTATCTGGGAGCAACCTGCTGGGTTTGTTTCCTCCCTGTGTCTCACCCAACCTGCCTGGCCCGGCCGTGTGCCGGCTCGCTACAGGAGCCCCACAGCTGCAGGGATTTTCCTGCCTGGTGCTGTACAGCTCAGCTCTGTTCTGTGGGGCAGTCACAAAGTGTTTGGTCTTCATCGCGTTCCTGCTGGAACAATGCAGAGCTTTGAGCCCAGCAGCTGTGCGGGGGCAGTGGAATAAGGCACTAGGCTCTGCCTCCAGCTCCCAAGGGATCAGAACGCAGCAACTTGTGGCCTCAAGGGCAATGGTATCAGTGCACAGCGATGCCCAAAAGACATCAAATATTGTTTTTTCTCTCTGACCAAATACCAACTGTTATAAAATGTTGGTGGCCGTGATACTCCCCAGTAGCTGCAAGATTAATAGCTCTTTCTTCTTAAAATAGCTTCTTAATAGCTTCTTCTGCTCTGCCTTTGTGGGCAGAAGGCGAGACATCTGCGGGTGGGAGGAGATGGTTCTGATGTTGGGGTGATGCTGACACTGATGTCTGTCCCCAGCCATCCTTTGAGGCCTATTTCACAGAGATTCTCCTCTGCAAGAATGAGCTCAATGACACCCTCAACAACTTGTCTCACTGGATGAAGGACGAGCACGTGGACAAGAACCTGGTAGGGCAGAAGCTCTGGAAGCGGGAGGTCAACAAAGGGGCAGAGCTGCTTCAGGAGCAGCACTGAGGTGCCTTTCTTGCAGGTCACACAGCTGGACTCAGCTTTCGTCCGCAAGGAGCCCTATGGGGTGGTGCTCATCATCGCGCCCTGGAACTACCCCATCCACCTCTTCCTTGTACCTCTCATCGGTGCTATTGCTGCTGGTGAGGCCAGGCTGCACAAAGCCAGGCACATCTCCTGCCTGGAGGATGCAGGCGAGGGGACCTGGATGGGCTCTCTGTCCCTAGTTTGGGCTGCTCTGACATTGTCTGTCTCCCCCCAGGTAACTGTGTGGTCATCAAACCCTCAGAGATATCCAAGAACACTGAGAGGCTTGTGGCTGAATTGCTGACGTGCTACCTGGACAGTGTAAGAAGCTCTCCTTGTCCCTGTCATTACCCCTGCCTGTGGCCAGGGCATTCTAACCCCTGATCACACCTCTTTGCACACGCCAGCATCACGGCTGCCCTGCACTGGGGTGCTGTGATGCCTGCTCCATGATCAGCCAGTGTTTGTGATCCACGCAGCTCAGGGTGCTGCTAATGGGGATAGGGACAGATTGGCCCAGGCAGATGCTGACAGGGATTTTTCCTTTTACATGCAGGACTGCTTTGCCGTGGTGACTGCTGGTGTGGAGGAGACCACCAGGCTGCTAGAGAACAAGTTTGACTACATCTTCTTCACCGGTGCGTCTTGAGGGCCAGAGCTGAGCCCTGCCCCGTGCTGGGATATGGGGGCACTTGTGCTCCCTGCGGCCCTGGCTCCCTGCAGTGCCACGTCCCCAGGCCAGGCTGCAGCCCTGAGGGATCCCTGCCGTGACACATCCCTTTCTGCCCTGCAGGCAGCCCCTCAGTGGGCAGGATCATAATGACGGCTGCTGCCAAGCACCTGACACCGGTGACGCTGGAGCTGGGGGGCAAGAACCCCTGCTACGTGTCCGACACCTGCGATGTGCAGAACGTGGCCCGGAGGGTGGTCTGGGGACGCTTCTTCAATGCGGGGCAGACCTGCATTGCGCCCGACTACGTCCTGTGCAGCGTGGAGATGCAGGAGAAGCTGATGCCTGCTCTGCGTGAGGCCATCACTGAATATTTTGGTTCCAACCCACGGGAGTCCCCTGACTTTGCCCGCATTGTGGGAGATAAGCAGTTCCAGCGTGTGCGGGCGCTGCTGCGCAGCGGGCGTGTGGCCATCGGGGGACAGACGGACGAGAAGGAGCGCTACATCGGTGAGGAGGAGGTTTGGCGTGTGGGGAGCAAGGAAGTGCTTGGCAGGGGGATGTGAGATACGGAAGCAGAGCCATGACCACAGGGACCACAGGCAGAGACACGGGGAGATTGTGGAGGGCTCAAAACCAACTTGGGATATTCTACGATTCGGTGACTATGTTTCTGTAGTTCTATGAGCTTTGTTTGGGAAAGGAACCTGTGAAGCAGCAGGTCCCTGGCAAGCCGGGGCTGATGTGAACACCCGTGCCTGTGCAGTGAGCTGTTTGCTTCCTTTCTCCTTCTTCACAGCCCCCACAGTACTGGCAGATGTGCAGCCCTCTGACCCCGCCATGCAGGAGGAGATCTTCGGGCCCATCCTGCCCATTGTTGTCGTGGCCAACATGGATGAAGCCATTGACTTCATCAATGCACGGCCCCGGCCATTGGCCATCTACGCCTTCTCCTGCGACAGCAAGGTGCGTGTGGTCCACAGGGCAGAAAAGGGAAGGAGGGAAATTGGGGCAGCGGGACATCAGCACCATGTCCCCTTCTGTGCTCCCTCCAGGTGGTGAACCAAGTGCTGGAGAGGACGAGCAGCGGGGGCTTCTGTGGCAACGACACCCTGATGCACGTGATGCTGACCTCGCTGCCCTTCGGTGGTACTGGTAGGTCCAAGCCCCCAAGCTTGAGGCAGATGCGAGCCCCCAGCTTGTCCCACCAGCACCCTTGGCTTCAGCTCCCTCGGGCTGATCTCTGGGGCTTTGCAGCCCTGCTTCTGCTGAGTGCATGTGGGGCACTGCAGGTTTTCTTCTCCCCGTGGTCCACTGTGTCAGCAAAAATGCCTCATCAAATATAGGGAAGTTTGTACCACTTGGGTATTTCCTTGGTATTTCTGAGCAGAATGAGTTGCCCACATTCTGTGCCAGGGTTGGGCTTTTGTCCAGCGTGAGGTTTACCTGAATGCTCCTCAAATGCTGGTGATTTTGCTCAGTCCATTGCTGCTCCTTGTCTGGGAGCAGATCCATAGCATTGTGCTTCTCAGGCAGGGGAGCCTTCCTCTTGCAGCAGCTTGGTGCTGGATTGCAGCTCTTAACATCACTCAGGAGGCGGTTTGTACATTCATTCTGCATTTTAAGGCTAAATATCAGGAGGAAAACATCTATAAATGTTTGGGAAATTTGCTTGTGGTAATAGGAAGATCCTCCTCAGTCAAGGGGAAGAGTTTTTTGCCCTTCAAGGAGCTTATATGCACATAGCAGTTGTTTTCTCATCTCACAAAAGGTCTGCTGAGCTCTGGTTGTAGCACTGTCTACCATGAGATGCTCAGGGGTGAGCACTGAAATACAGGATGACTGTGATGTTTGTTCCCCGGAGTTCTTTCTCAATCCTGTGGTCTCTTCCCTAAAATTTCTCTATTGTGGAGATTATTCTGGGAAAAAGACTCCACTTGCTCAGCACGTCAGAGCTGCCAGCTGATTCAGCCATAATAAGACAGCACAACAGCAAAGCAGAATTAATTCCTTGCCTGATTGCAGATCAAGGAACAATTGGTGGTGGTTCCTGTGTCGTAACTTATCTTTATGGAAATGATTCAGAGAAACTGCCTCAAATTATCAGGTGGAGGGCCTGAATTCACCAGAGCCGAGATGACATTTGCCAAAGCTATTAACCATGACGTGAAACCTCGAGCTTAAGTCAGCCACAGGAATTGGGAACCAACGTGGCCAATGGCCTCTGATTTTTACGAGGAGCTTCTTCCTGGAGCTCTTTGTTCCAGATGGATTGGTGGCTCCTGACCATGGGTACATATGGTAGGACCCCACATCAAGGGGGAAACTGGGGAAATGCGGCCCAGCAAAGCTTTCTGAAGAGCTCATGAGCATGTAGGCAGGCGCAGACTGGTCAGAAGTTTGCAGCTGGGGCAGCAAGCAATGGTGAGCTGCAGGGAGCAGCTAGTGCAGAGCGACTGAGCCCTGGTGGGGCTGGAAAAGGAACGGGGAAGGGCAAAAGGTGCTGCACCGCGTTGGCCGTTGTGTTGGCATGAGAAAAGCCGGGAGTGTCTTTCCCTTGTGCCTATGGTGCTTGAGCTGGGCAGGAGTCCCATAGCAAGCCTGGACCTGTGCTGTTTGTTGCAGGAAACAGTGGTCTGGGGAAATACCATGGCAAGTTCACCTTTGACACCTTCAGTCATCACCGCGGCTGCCTGCACCGCAACATGGGCCTGGAGGCTATCAACTCCCCGCGCTACCCACCCTACACCCAGCAGAAGCTGGGGCTGATGACTGCCACCTTTGAGATCAAGCGCAAGGGCATGTGCACCCTGCTCTGAGCAAGGCCCTGTGCCACATACGGACTGACCAGGATCCAACCCGTGCCACGTCTTGTGTCGCACTACCACCCTGATGCATGCTGGACAGTGGGGACTGACCCCTCCTGTGTGCCTGCTCCTCTCCAGCTTCCTGTGCTCAGGGCTGTGTGCTGTGACACATCTAAAATGATGACGGTTTCTTGTTCTTACCCCACACTTCTCCTCCTGGTAGAGCAATAGTGCCCTGCTTGCTCAGGACCGGCAATTAGCCCTATCTCATTTCTGTTTAGATGACCTTCCGATACTCTCCTACTGGCTGTTGTTTTTTTCTCTGTGTATAACTCTGCCCTCAGTAAAGACTTTGCACTGAGCTCTGCGGCCTCACTTCATCCCTCCACTGCCTTCACAGCTTAATCCTGCATCCCTGCACCATACCTGGACACCCTCGTTCCCCATCAGGCCATCCCACCATGGGCAGGGGACCCTCACTTGTGATACAGCCGTGGGGGCAGCCAGAGGAGCTGCAGGGACATTGGGTTGAGGCCCCACGCCAGGGCCGGACCCGAGAGGCAGGGCAGGGCTGTTCTGCTTGCTGCCATGGTGCCAGGGGCACAGCTTTAAGGTTACCGCTCTCTGTCCTGCATCTTGAGTGGTTTGGGCTGGAGCGCAGCCAGCAGTGACGCAAGGAGCTGAGGGGAAGGGCAGGAAGCTGGCGGTGGAGTCCCTGCTGCAGAGAGATACGCAGCGCGTGCTCAGCGGCAACACAGCTGCAGTGTTGGGGTGCTAAGCAGGCTCCCCAAAGCCACCCCTTCTGGGTAAGGCTCCCATCAGGCCAAGCAGCTGTGGAAGGTGTACTGTGCAGCCCCGTGCTCCTCCTCGCTGCTCCCTGAAGCTGTTGGCTCCTGAACGCAGCTCGGCATGGAGCAGCCCCTTGAGCATCCCGGGCAGCCCACGGATGGTGAGGCTGGCACAGCTGGTGGGGATGACGGTAGCATGAGGTGAGAGCAAAGGGATGGCGACAAGCAGCCGGGCTGGAAGGGAGGCAGGAGGCGCCCAGACAGCCTGGCCACCCCAGCTTGATGCTGCAAGGTGCTGGGTTGTGCTGGGGCAATGCAGAGCCCCTGTGCCTTGGCACCCAAAGGGGAATGTGATGGGGTCTCCCTGATGGGGTCTCCCTGATGCCCCCATCCCTGCAGTGAGAACCCTTATGTGGGGCTGGTGAGCCAACTGCGGGCAGCCTGGCTCTCAGGGAGGACACGCTCCTTGGAGTACCGCATGGCACAGCTGGAGGCCCTGGGCCGATTCCTGGAGGAGAAGAAGCAGGACATCCTGGAGGCCACCGCCTTGGACATGCGCAAGGTAAGGTCCCCAGGGCTGGGCACTGGAGGATCCAGGGGTTGGCAGGGCTGGGGAGCTCTGCCCTGGGCATGGAGCCCATGGGTGCACACAGAGGCAGTAAGGAGAAAACCATACCCCGTCTCTATCAGGAGCAGCCCACGGGGGCTGCAGGAGTCCAGCGAACATGGAGGGGACACTGCCAACCCTCGTCCCCAGAACCTCTGCCTGCAAAGAATGGCTGGGGTCATGGGAAACACTTGGACATATTTATCCATCCCTTGCTCCCATCATTTTCTCCCTGCTCTCTCCCTCTGAAACCAATCCCCACCTTGCTTGGTGCTTGGTCAAGCCCTCACACCCAAATGCACCCCATCCTGACTGTATCCCTGGCACCACTGCCTCCCCAGCCTCTGCTCCCTCCCTGGTGCTCCCAGCAGGAGCAATGGGGCAGAGCAGACCCAGTCCTTGTGCTCCAGACCCCCAGCCTGAACCTCCCCACTTCGGGACAGCTCATTCACCTGCACCATGAGCACTATATAGGGTTCATCATCTTCTGTTCCCCACCTCAGTTCAGAACCTCCCCTTGGACAACTGCTCATCCTTGCAGCCTTTCCCCATTTGTAAACACCAGCTCTTGTGCTGGAAGGTGATGCAGAGTGGTGCTTCATTTCACCCCTTTCCCATGGCTGCTGTGGGACCCCAGGGACTTGGGAGGGTCTTGTACATAAGAGAAGTGCTTGAAATGGGGAAGCACTGCTGAGGAGCCCAAGACTGAATTAGCAGCAACTTGCTGATAGTTGTCTCCAAAACACCACTGATGGCAGCAGCTAGGTAAAGGCACATGGCTGTAAGGACACAGGTACGATGGGGTGGAGTGTGACCAAAGATCTGCCCAGCCCCATCTCTCCAAACAATGCTCAGAAGTTGGCAAATCCACATGATACTTGCAAATACCCTCCCCACTTAGTGTCCTCGGAATGTCCTGGAGCTGTGCATTTCTCCAAATCCCTGCTCCTTCTGGACAGCCCCATCTCCTCAGGCTCTGCTCCACAGCCTCCTCTGAAGATATCTCAAAGCTTTTGCTTTGCTGCTGTTGCTCCCCTTGAGGCTTGGCAGGGTACCCATAGCAGTGTTAAAGCCCCTTGAGATGGGTGTGAGAGATGCAGGAAAGCATGGAAGCAGTGATGGGCACAGTGCTCTGCACCCCCAGCCACCCTTCGAGGCTGAGTTCTCTGAGGTCCTTCTGTGCAAGAATGAGCTCAATGAAGCCCTGAACAACCTGTCCCGGTGGATGAAGGACAAGCATGTGGACAAGAACCTGGTAAGGGAGAAAAGGAACTTGCCAGCGTGGGCTGCTGGAAAGCCCAGAGCATGAAGAGGGCTGTTCAGGTGGAATCTGACCCACACCAATGTGCTCCTGTAGGTGACGCAGCTGGACTTGGCTTTCATCCGCAAGGACCCCTATGGGGTAGTGCTCATCATTGGGCCCTGGAACTACCCCATCTACCTCCTCCTGGTGCCCCTCATTGGGGCCATCGCTGCTGGTGAGGCTGAGCCCGTCCCTTGCTTACAGGATGCGGGCAGCACATGCCAGGGCTGGGGAACACATTGTTGGTTGAATCTCCCCCCAGGTAACTGTGCCATCATCAAACCCTCAGAGCTGACAAAGAACAGCGAGAAACTCATGGAGGAAGTGCTGCCCAAATACTTGGACAAAGTAAGAAGCCCATGTCATCCTTGTCCATGCCTCATGGCAGGGTTCTTCCCGCCCCTTTTGTATGCCGAGCTGTTCCTATACTCCCCACCTCTGAGTCTTCCATGATATGCAGACGTGCACCTGTTCTCACCCATTATGCACTCCAAAGCATGGGGTTCCTTATGGCTGTGCTCCCTAGAACTAGCCCCTGGCTGCCCCACTGCTCACTCAGACACAGCACTTCATCCAGGGTGCTGATAGTGGGGATGGGAACAGAGCGACACAGAGGGTCCCCTCCTCTTCTGCTGCAGGAGTGCTTTGCTGTGGTGACTGCTGGCGTGGAGGAGACCACCAGGCTGCTGGAGAACAAGTTTGACTACATCTTCTTCACCGGTGCGTCTTGAGGGCCAGAGCTGAGCCCTGCCCCGTGCTGGGATATGGGGGCACTTGTGCTCCCTGCGGCCCTGGCTCCCTGCAGTGCCACGTCCCCAGGCCAGGCTGCAGCCCTGAGGGATCCCTGCCGTGACACATCCCTTTCTGCCCTGCAGGCAGCCCCTCAGTGGGCAGGATCATAATGACGGCTGCTGCCAAGCACCTGACACCGGTGACGCTGGAGCTGGGGGGCAAGAACCCCTGCTACGTGTCCGACACCTGCGATGTGCAGAACGTGGCCCGGAGGGTGGTCTGGGGACGCTTCTTCAATGCGGGGCAGACCTGCATTGCGCCCGACTACGTCCTGTGCAGCGTGGAGATGCAGGAGAAGCTGATGCCTGCTCTGCGCGAGGCCATCACAGAGTTCTACGGCCCTGAGCCCCGCAATTCCCCTGACTTTGCCCGCATTGTGGGGGACGAACAGTTCCAGCGAGTGCAGGCGCTGCTGAGCAGCGGGCGTGTGGCCATCGGGGGACAGACGGACGAGAAGGAGCGCTATATCGGTGAGGGCTTGAATTTCAGATAATCCTGCTCACCCTTGCATAAGGTGGTGTGGATTTTGGACAGGGTCTTGCAGCCAGAGAGGAGAGAGAAGGGACATTTAGTTTGCATGGCAGCTTGGTGAGGCATCTGGCCTTAGAGGAGGGACCTGTGCACTGTAGATCAAGATATCATCTCCAACCTCCAGGCGTGGCTGACACCTTCAGGTTTCTTTCTTTGCAGCCCCTACTGTGCTGGTGGATGTGAAGCCCTCTGACCTTGCCATGCAGGAGGAGATCTTTGGCCCTATCCTGCTCATCATTACAGTGGCCAATATGGATGAAGCCATTGACTTCATCAACAGCCATGAACGGCCTCTGGTTGTGTATGCCTTCTCCTCCGACAACAAGGTAGAGAGCCCTGGCTGTGCATCTGGCCAACTCTCCTCACCAAAGATTTTGGCTGAAGGATTTTGGCCCTGGCTCTGCAGGATGGCTCTGCAGCTGGGGTCACGGCATCAGCACCATGTCCCCTTCTGTGCTCCCTCCAGGAGGTGAACCAAGTGCTGGAGAGGACGAGCAGTGGGGGCTTCTGTGGCAACGACACCCTGATGCACGTGACGCTGACCTCGCTGCCCTTCGGTGGTATCGGTAGGTCCAAGCCTCCAAGCTTGAGGCAGATGTGAGCCCCCAGCTTGTCCCACCAGCACCCTTGGCTTCAGCTCCCAGGGCTGAGCTCCACAGCTTTGCAGCCACAGTGTGTGAAAAGCACCGAAAGCTTTCTTCTCTCAGTAGTTGCTGTCCCAGGCAGCATTCCTTATGTATGTGGAGATGTCTTATTTAAGAAGTAGGAAATCTGAGATAGCGCCAGCAGAGGAATATCTCTAGATTTTAAGTTTTTCAAGGATCTTCATTTTGGGCTGCAGGTCTGAATACAGCACAATTTCCTATGAATTTCTAAGCATATGAAGTCTCTTTCAGCAAGCACCTGAAGCCACATATTGCAGAAAGCTCTTGAGGTATAGACAGCACTGAATCCAGATCATGCGGATCTGGAGACATGACAAGGAAAAGCTTCACAAGCATTTACCATCATCCCATCTCAGAACTGAGAAATCATTGAAGAATGTGCAACTCCTGGTGGTCCTTCTCGTTGCTCCACACAAAGATTTTTGCAAAGATTTTTGGCAGACCCTGAAAAGCTCTAAATCTTATTCTGACCCTTTTGCTGGGGGTTTCCTCCTGGAAAAGGCAGCTGTTGTCCTATTTCCTGTGACGCTGTGGTCTCCTCTGTATGTATCCTGGCCACCAGGCAGTGCTTTTAGATTTGCATTTGATGAACTCCAAACATTGTGCAAGGAATCCCTCATGACACGAAGGAAGTGCATATCCACTGTAAGTCCTACACTCCTATGTGCCGGCTGACTTCTGAGCCACTGTAGATGCTTTCTGCCCACACTTTCTTTCTCTGAAGTCTTGCACAGGCAAAGCTGGGTCCAGTTCTGCACTCTTTTCTATCACAACCCTATGCAGATGTGTGAGTAGGAGCAGAGCACGTGTGGACCTCCAGAAGGTCTCCCAGCCTCCATCTGTTTCCAGATCAGAGGATTTGCTATGCCAGAAGGGCACTTACTCAAGTTCTCCTTAAGTCCCAGGAAACTCCTGAACACCACAACACCCCGGTGACATGTGGTTTCACAGCTCAGGGACAGAAACAGCACTTTGGGACCGTCACTCTTCTGACCCATTCTATTTAGGTTAAAAAAAAAAAAAAAAAAAAAAAAAAAAAAAAGCAAACATATTAGCAAGAAGCGCTTTGCTTTTTCCTTGGTGATGAAGGAGTATAGATGATGGAGACACCCAGGCTTGAGGATGAGCTTTACTGCCAGCTCCTGTTCTCCAGAAGAGGTTTCAGCTGGCTCAGTGATCTCCCTGCCTCTTGGGGCTGAGTATGACCCACCACTGAACAACAGCACAGGAAGGTTGGAAGGGACCTTGAAGGTTGGAAGGGACCTTGAAAGATCACCATGACCTCGTAGAGTGAGGAGGTGTTTTGGGGAGGCTGTGCTCATGGTAGAGAAGATGCTGCAGTAGGTAAGTGGGGCTGATGGAAGCTCTTGCTTGCTGCTGTCTGCTCTGAGCCACTCTGGCACCACCTGAGGTTTTGGGACCAGGAACTTCCGCTGCTGCATTTAGAGCCAAAAACAGAACAGAAACTTGAGAGGGGAAGGAGGAAGCTGCAGTGCAAGAAGAAAGAAAGACAAAGAAATGAAACCTGTTTATCAAAAGTTTTAATTGAAGAAGAACCACATGAGGCTGGGAGCAGCGCAGCTCCTCTGCACGAGGGCAGCAAGGAGGCGGCACTTCAGATCCTCTCCCCCAGGCAACGGTATGAGCAGAAAGGCTTCAGCCTGCCCGCCTCGGCTCAGAGGCTTTCGAGGACACAGCTCCTCCTAGCGAGGAGGTGATGCCCTGCCAAAGTATTGTTCTGCCCACGTTTTCTGAGCCTCGCCCGGTGCACAACGCAAACGGTGACACTGAGGTTGCGAGTGCGGCCGGGAGCTTTTCACCCCACCCGGGAGCCCAGAAGCCTTGTTGGGGGCCCCTCCACCCCTCGCTCTCTGTCCCGCTGCCCTTCCAAGCCCTCCCCACGTTTCTCCTCGGCTCACCGACCGCGGGTCGCTCTGTGCTGTGCGTTGCAGGGTCCAGCGGTCTGGGGATGTACCACGGCCAGTTCACCTTCGACACCTTCACCCACCACCGCGGCTGCCTGCAGCGTGGCACCGGCCTGGAGCCCATCAATACCCTGCGCTACCCCCCTTACAGCGCCCACAAGATGGGGCTGGTCCGCGCTGCCACCTCGGTCAAGCGCCGGGGGGAATGCTTCCTGCTCTGAGGCACCGCCACGGCCGCCCTGGTGCCTCCACAGCCGCGGGGGCCCCCCAGCCATCAATGTCGTCTGTTGACTCCAAGTGCCTCGCTGTACCTGTTGCTGGCTTGGTGACACCCAGGGCCACCTGCCTATCAGCGTGGGGCGGAGCTGGTAGCCAGTGGGATGGGAGAAAAGAAAAGAGTTGGGGCTTGGGGGTGGAACCAACTATAGATGGTGGCCCCCAGTTCTTGGTGCCCCACTTTGCCCTCAGTGCCCCCCAACTCCCACTTCCCCCATGTCTCCTGGCATGTCCCACGCACCTCCCACCGCCCCTCATATCTCCCCGTGCTCCCCACATCCACCCATGCCCAGCTGGACCCTTGTGAAGTTGGAGCCCTCACCTATGAGCAGATGCACCACACAGGCCCTCCCAGTTGCTGGGAAAGGCTCTCCAGATCATTGCTGCAACTGGGCTCCCAGCAACTGCAGATCTGGATGAAGGTAAAGTATGAGGGCAATTGGTGACATAACTTTCTCAATCACAATCCTCATGTACTAATGGTTAAGTGCATTGCTGCGTTCTACCTTTGCTGTTTAATCTCACTTACCTTGCTGAAGTAAAGATAACTGCACTTATTCACCTTGGTGTCTGTGAACTTTGTGCTGACCAAGTCCACTGGCCAAACAGCGATTATTATGCACAGGCTGATAAGTGCTTCCAAAGAAGGGGGTCAAGATGCTCGAGAGGTTTGGCTGGTGACTGGCTGACTGTCGGCAGATGAAGCTCCCAGTTCTGTGTGCCTCCTGTTCCTCACCCCATCCTGTACCTTAAGAGAGTGAGAACCAAACTCCAGCGCCTTGGCTCACAAAGCCAAACCTCTTGTTGGGTTCACCTGACAGACAAGCCAGGGAACATGCTGGTGAAGGTGGATGCTGGCTTGGCTGTGGAACCTGAGACCTCTCCCATGTGCTTGGCTGGAGGCCCGAATGACTCTGATATGCTCGCCTGGTGCCCTTCTTGTTGAGGCGTAGCCAGCAAGACAAAGAAACCCAGATCAAGACTCAAGCAGGAAGACTGTGCTCTACGCCCACTTCCCAATATGCAAATCAGGCATAAAGATTCCGGATCCTTATCTGTCCTAGACGGATTTTCGCACAAACACATCCAAACCCTTTTCTGCATTGGACAGACAGACAGAAGCCTGCTAGGGATGTCGGGATAACACTGCGCTCCACAGCACAGACTCTCTCCAAAGGCTGCTCTGTCTTCGATTGACTCCAGGTAGAGATTTGGCAAGTGTTGTGCCACCAATATCATAAATAGCTAAGATGTGTGTATGGCTGAATGGCTGTAAGTCTGTACTTACTTTATGTGTATGGATGAACAGTCCATGTGCTTACTTCTCTAGTGGGAAATCTATATAACCTAAAAAGTGCATTGATATATGTTTAGCAGTAGTGATTTCAAGCAATCTGTAATACACTCACAGACATGCATTCTTGAGCATGAAGACAGACTCTGATGCATCCTGATCTTTGCCCAGCACAGGGTCACATTGCTCTTGGCTGTGCTCTATGGCCAGGCATACGCTGCCTGCTGCAACAGGAGCTTGGTACATGATGGTGGATTTCACCCTGGCACTGGGTGTTCTCCTCCACCTCAGGGGGGGTGACATCTCCCATCCTCACCAGCTCACAGCCACCCTGTGCCATGAGTGACCACGCAGGGCTGGTGAGCCACCTGCGGGCAGCCTGGCTCTCAGGGAGGACACGGCCCTTGGAATACCGTACAGCCCAGCTGGAGGCCCTGGGCCGATTCCTGGAGGAGAAGAAGCAGGACATCCTGGAGGCCACTGCCTTGGACATGCGCAAGGTGAGAGGGATGGGGCTGCTGGTGAGAAGTGCTTGACTTTCCTTCACTTTTTCCCCCTCATTTTTTCCTATCTATTCTCCATCAGTTTCCTCCCTTTTGCTCATCTGCACCTCTCTGGGGTTGGCGCATGGTCGCTTGGGGAGAGGTGGCCTCTGCTTTTTGCTGTAACCTTCAACTCAGCTTTGGAGACACCCACAATGGGACACCACAAAGCAGGCCTTCTGATCGCACAGAATTAGGTTCAGTCAGCTCTGCAGAAGCTTTTGCTGAGCACAATTCAATTCCTTGTGCCCATCTGCACCTCCAGAGCTGCATGTGTTGTTCTACTATCAATGGAGCTAAAGCTCTTGAGATACCAAACACGTGTCTCCAAACCTGAGTCTCTGCTACGCCCCAGAACACGATGGCACAGAGTGGTATGGGGCCAGGTAGCACATTGTTACATAGGTGGCATGTGGTAGACATGGAAGACAGTGCCACCTGTCTTCACAGCACAAGGCCAACAGTGGCATCTGGCCCTACTGAGGCCACCACACCCTACTAGGAGGGTGAGCGTGGGGCTTGGGAGGAAAACCATTGCAGTGGGGTGATGGTAGTGACCATGATGTCTTCCTGCATGTCCTCAGCCATCCTTCGAAGTGGAACTCTCTGAGATATCCATCTGCAGGAGTGAGCTCAACCACACGCTAAACAACCTGGGTGCCTGGATGAAGGACGAGAACGTGGACAAGAACTGGGTACAGGATGGCGTCTGCCAGGGATGGGCAGGATCGGAACAGTGGGTCCCTAACAATCTCCTTCCTGCTGCAGGCAACACAGCTGGACTCAGCCTTCATCCACAAGGACCCCTATGGGGTAGTGCTCATCATCGGACCCTGGAACTACCCCATCAACCTCCTCCTAGTGCCCCTCATTGGGGCCATTGCTGCTGGTAAGGCTGAGGCTGCATCCCTACTACCCAACGAGGGTACCAGGACCTCCACGTAGGCAACCTGAGTTCCCAACCCCAAGGGAGGTGATGGTGGTGGGTTTCTCTGCTCCCCGAGAGCCAGCTCCTCACTGGGAAGGAGCTCTTGTCCTACAGGTAACTGTGTTGTACTGAAACCCTCCGAAATCAGCAGGAACATGGAGAGGCTGGTGGCCGAGGCATTGCCCAGCTACCTTGACAAGGTAGGAAGGCTGCTGGCCACAGCTTCTTGTCCCTCTATATCCTGACAAAAAAAAACCAAAAAACAAAAAAACAAAAAAAACCCCACAGCTGAGTTGTATCCTGTATCATTCTCCTAAACCACAGGACTGCTTTGCTGTGGTAACTGCCGGAGTGGAGGAGACCACCAGGCTGCTAGAGAACAAGTTTGACTACATCTTCTTCACCGGTGCGTCCCATGGGGAGGCTTTGGTTACACCTTCAAGGCAAGGAGACACAAAAGGAAATGGACAAGATCAGCTTACGCTACAACCCTTGTCCACAGGCAGCCCCTCAGTGGGTAGGATCATAATGACGGCTGCTGCCAAGCACCTGACACCGGTGACACTGGAGCTGGGGGGCAAAAACCCCTGCTACGTGTCCGACACCTGCAATGTGCAGAACGTGGCCCGGAGGGTGGCCTGGGGACGCTTCTTCAATGCGGGGCAGACCTGTGTTGCGCCCGACTACGTCCTGTGCAGCGTGGAGATGCGGGAGAGGCTGGTGCCTGCTCTGCGCGAGGCCATCGCAGAGTTCTACGGCTCTGAGCCCCGCAATTCCCCTGACTTTGCCCGCATAGTGGGAGACAAACAGTTCCAGCGAGTGCAGGCGCTGCTGTGCAGCGGGCGCGTGGCCATCGGGGGACAGACGGACGAGAAGGAGCGCTACATCGGTGAGGGCACAGCATGCGCGGGGGGGTGCCTTGCTGGATCTGGTGCGGGATGACCTGTCTCTGCTCCTGCAGCCCCCACAGGACCCCCTGGGACGTCCAGGAGAATGACCCAGTGATGCGGGAGGAGATCTTTGGCCCTGTGTTGCCCATTTTGACAGTGACCAGTGAGGAGGATGCCATCACCTTCATCAATGCCCGGGAACGGCCACTGACACTCTATGTCTTCTCCTCCAGCACGAAGGTGGCAGCTTCCTCCACGTCCCACTATCCACAGGGACAACATGGGGTGACCGCTCATAGTGCTCATTGTTCACGTTCCCCCATCCAAGGTGGTTCGTCGGCTGCTGGAGCGGACAAGCAGTGGTGGCTTCTGTGCCAATGACACCATCATGCACATGACACTGACTTCACTGCCTTTTGGTGGCATCGGTATGTCCATCTGTCTTTCCGTCTGCCTCTTTGTCCATCTGCCTGTCTGTCTGTCCATCCACCTGTCTACCTGCTGGGCCGTCCACCCATCCCTCTGTCCGTCCATCCCTCTGCCCCGTCTATCAGGTCCAGGTCCTCTTTCACCCTCAGTGCCGCGGCCTAGCACCGTCGCAGGCCCTGAGGTTTCGTTCCCCGTTCCCGTTCAGGGCTCAGCGGCATGGGCCGCTACCACGGCCGTTTCACCTTCGAGACCTTCTCGCACCTCCGCTCGGCCCTGCTCCGTGCCGACGGCCGGGAGGCGCTGAACAACCTCCGCTACCCGCCGTACGCCCCGCGCCGCCTGCCGCTGCTCCGCACCACCGTGGAAAGCCGCCGCCGCACCGTCGCCTGCACGCTGCTTTGAGCGCCGTCTCAATAAACGCTTCCTTCCGCCCTCATCTCCGCCTGACCAATCGCCGCGCCGCCCTGCCGTCCCCTAGCCAGTCCGCGAGGAAGCTCGCCCCTTCTCCCGCACGAATGGTTATTACTGCCGCCAATCGGCTTGCAGCGGCCAATAGAGTGCGAAATGTGGCTGTGGTCCCGCCTGGTGAAGCCAGCACCGCTGTGCGCATGCGTTGCTGCTCCCCGCGGCTGCGCACTGCATCTTGGGGGCGGGCCAGGGGTCAGGACGGCTGGGTCCTTGGGGGAGGTGAGGCCTGGGGGCGGAAAGGGGGCCTGGAGGGGCTTGGGGTTGGGGGAGGCTTGGGGTTGAGGTGTCATCTCAAAGGGAGGGCGCTGTGGGATTTCCTTGCGTGGGGAGGGGGCAGGAAATTCGGCTCCATTTTGTGTTGTGGGAGAGTGAATGTGGACAGGACACCCGGTTCTCTTGGGTGGGGGGCAGGAGGTGGAAGTCCAGTGTGTGTTCTGGGGCAAGGGGGGGCAGGACGCCCAGGTCCCTCACCCAGCTGCTAGGATGCCCCTGTGGGGTGTTGTGCAGGGGAGCGGGGCACCTGGGGTTCCCTTACGGGAAGCAGTGCTGGGGGGCTGCCCAGGACCCCCTCAGTGCTGAGCATCTCCTGCAGCAGGATAGCACATGGCAGCGCTACGCTTCTTGCACCGGGCTGCCCGGGCAGGTAAGTGGCCAAACGGGACCACCCGCACCCCATTGCCAGCTCCGTGCTGCTGGCACGTCCTCCCCTCCACTCTGTCCTTCCCAGGTCCGCCTGTTCCCCCCTTGTGCTACCTGCGGGCACTCAGCACTACCACCCCCCGGGAGTGCTACAGTGAGTACTCCCCCCATCCCTGTCCCCATCCCATCCCAACCCTGACCCTTCCCAACCCCATTCCCCTCCCATCACCATCCCCACAAAGCGGAAGCTGCTGCCGTCCCCCCACTCCGTGGAGGGTGAGGATGGCGTTGTGCCCCCCCACAGAGTATGTCAACATCCAGGAGCCGGCTATGGATATGAAGTCCATCACTGACCGTGCTGCGCAGACTCTGCTGTGGACAGAGCTCTTCCGAGGTGAGCCCTGTGATGTGTCCCACTCCTGAGGTGAGATCGTGCTCCACTTGAGGGTGACACTGTGCTCCCACAGGGCTGGCCATGACACTGAGCTACCTGTTCCGGGAGCCGGCCACCATCAATTATCCCTTTGAGAAGGGTCCTCTGAGCCCACGCTTCCGTGGGGAGCACGCGCTGCGCCGCTACCCATCAGGCGAGGAGCGCTGCATCGCCTGCAAGCTCTGTGAGGCTGTCTGCCCCGCACAGGTGAGCACCCCCCGTGTCCCACCCTCTGTTCCCGGGGCTCCCCCTTCTCTGACATTGTATCTGGGGACAGGCCATCACCATCGAGGCTGAGCCCAGGGCGGACGGCAGCCGCCGCACCACGCGCTACGACATCGACATGACCAAGTGCATCTACTGTGGCTTCTGCCAGGAGGCTTGCCCTGTGGACGCCATCGTGGAGGTGAGGTGGGAGCGGGACCCACCTGCCATGGGAACCCTGAGCATCCTTTGCTGAATGTCTCCCACCCTGCAGGGTCCCAACTTTGAGTTCTCGACGGAGACGCACGAGGAGTTGCTGTACAACAAGGAGAAGCTGCTCAACAACGGCGACAAGTGGGAGGCTGAGATTGCGGCCAACATCCAGGCTGATTACCTGTACCGGTGATGGTGGGGAGACCACACCGTGTGCCCCCCAAATCCCGTTAATAAAGTGGGCATCCACCAGCCCTTTCCTACGCCCGAGCTCGTGCCTGCCTTGTCTGATTCTGTAGCCGGGGGGAGGATGCGTTGGTCCTGGGGGCTGCAGCCCACTGGGGCGGGGGACGCCTTGTGGAGGAGTTTCCAGCGTTGGGGAGGTTTGGAGGGCGGGTTCGGCTGCCGAAGTGCCGCCCCCGAAGCGCCGGCGTGTTCCTGTGGGCAGCGGAGGGCCGGGCTCCGCACTTCCTCTTCCCCCAGGAAGAGCCCGGCCCTCCCCACCGAGCACCGGGTAGGAGCGGGCGGTGCCGGGTTGCTCACGGCTGCGAATCCCGGGAGGAGGGAGGGACAGCATGGGGCGGGCGCCGGGGCCGAGGGGCGGGGATGAGGGGTCTCGGTCCCCCCGGCCGGGGGCGAGTTGGCTGTGACTCAGATGCAGCTGAGCTCCGCGTGGAGTGGTGGGGGAAGGAGTTGGGAGGGTGGAGGGAGGAGGGAGTTGGGGGTGGGACAGCGTTGTGCAAGCGAAGTGCCGGGAACGGCGTGACCGCGGCCGACTCAGCCGGGAAGTGCCGTGTGACTTCCCCTGGCCCCAGCCCTTCAGCTCTGCCGTGGGGACAGCGCGGCTGAGGAGAGGCGGCAGGATCTCCCCATCCCACCCCATCTCTACCCCAGCCTGTCCCATCCCCATCCCACCATCTCAACCCTTTTACATCGCATTCCTCAATCCCATCCCCATCTCCATCCCATTTCTCCATCTAATACCCCACCATCCTATCTCCATCCCGCCACTCCAACCCACCCCATCTCCATCCCATACCACTGCCCCAACCCATCCTATCTCCACCCCAATCTGTCCCATCTCCATCTCATTCCACCCCTACTGGAGCCTCCCCTGACTGCTCACCTCCCTCTCCCAGACACAGGGTGCCCCCAACCAGGCCTCCATGGGGTCCCTGTTCCGCAGTGAGGAGGTCTGCCTGGCGCAGCTCTTCCTGCATTCGGCCTCGGCGTACAGCTGTGTCAGTGAGCTGGGCGAGAGGGGGCTGCTGGAGTTCAGGGATGTATGTAGGGGGTGCAGGGACCCCCATCTGTATGGCCTTGGGATGGTGGGACAGGTTGGGATGGGCAGGGTGGGCTGGGGGTTTGGGTAGCATGGGTGCAGGGGGGAGACTCAATGGTGTTTGGGTGTGGGGGATTGGGTTTAGGGGCAGGAAATGGGGCATAGATGGTTTGGAGTGCTGTGGGTGTAAGGTGATTGGGATGGGTAGGTTTGGATGCTGTGTGTGTGGACGCTCTGGATGCAGGATATTGAGCTTGGGTGGTTTGGTGTGTTCTGGGTGCAGGGGAATTGGGATGGGTGAGTGTGGGTGCTGTGGGCACAGAGGTTTGGGGTGCTTTGGTGTGTTCTGGGTGCAGGGGAATTGGGATGGATGGGTGTGGGTACTGTGAGCACAGCAGTTGGGTTGCTGTGGGCACATACATTTGGCTGGTTTGGGGGCTGAGGGGCCATGGGGTTTGGGTCCTCTGGGGATGGGTGCATGCTGACGGAGCTGCTGCGCACCCCGATGCTGACAGCCATGACTGTGCCCCCTCTTTCCCCAGCTGAACCCCCACGTGAGCGCCTTCCAGCGGCGCTTTGTGGGCGAGGTGCGGCGCTGCGAGGAGATGGAGAAGACCTTCAGTGAGTGCTGAACCCGGGGTTAGCTGGGTTGGGGGGGCGGTCCTTCCCCTTGATCCCTTCTCCCACATCTCCTCTTGCAGCCTTCCTGCAGCAGGAGCTGCAGGGGGCTGGGCGAGTGCTGGGGCCGTGCACCGAAAACCCTCCAGCACCCGTGGCCCGCGAGGCTCTACGAGTTCAGGAGCAATCAGAGCAGCTGGCGAGGGAGCTGCGCGAGGTCAGCCGCAACCGCGCTGCCCTGCGAGGGCGCCTGCAGGACCTGCGCCAATACCTGCACGTCCTGCGTGAAGGCCAGCGCCTCACAAGCATGCCGGTGGGTGCCGGGACCCACCAGACCAAGGGGACATCTCGTCCCACATCCCGTCACCCACAGCTTCCTCTCTGCGCTCCCCGACACTGCAGGGCCCCCCTGGTTCGCCGACATCAAGCCGGGCGTTCTCTGAGCATGAGCCGCTGCTCGACCCCTCTGTGCAGCACCACCTTGACCGCAAGATCAAGTGAGTGGAACTGGGGGTGTGGGGCAAATGTGGGGCAGAGGTGGTTGTAGGGTAAGGGTTGGAGATAGGTCCTGTGGCAGTGGTAGGATGAGGGTTGGAGTCGGGCCTTATGGGGCAGCTTTATGGCTGTAGGGTGAAGTTTGGAGATGGGTTATGGGGCGGCGGTATGGCTTGTGGGATGAGGGTTGGAGGTGGATCATGGGGCTCTGATATGACTGTAGGAGACGATTTGGAGATGGGCCTGTGGGACAGTGGTGTGGTTCAAGGACAAGAGCTGGAGATGGGCCATGCATCAGGGACAGTAAGCAAAGCTGTAGGAGAAAGGTTGGGAATAGGCCACGGGGTGGGGGCATGGCCACAGCAGAGCAGTGCCCATCCCAGTGCTCAACGCTGCATTCCCACAGCTTTGTGACCGGTGTCATCCACCCGTGGAGAGTGAGTGCCTTTGAACGGCTGCTGTGGCGAGCCTGCCGTGGCTACCTGGTGGCCAGTTTTGTGGAGATGCCTGAGCCCCTGGAGGACCCGAACACGGTGACTGTGGCACCAGGGGTTTGGTGGGAAAGGGAGATGGGACAAGCTGGTGCTGATGTGACCTATGTGTCCACAGGGTGAGAATGTCACCTGGGTCATCTTCCTCATCTCCTACTGGGGAGAGCAGATCGGGCAGAAGATCCACAAGATCTCAGACTGGTGAGTGAGCAGCCCCACATCGTTTGGACACACAAAAAAAGCTTTATTTAGTGAGACCCGCTGCAGTACCAGGGAGCACCAGCCTTCAACATGGCAATGTCCATCTATCCCAGCTTCCACTGCCATGTGTACCCCTACCCGGAGAGCGAGGCCAGCCGGGCCGACACGCTGAATGGGCTGGTCAGCCAGATCCAGGACCTCAGTGTGGTGAGCTGGGCACCGTGAGCTGGGGGATAGGGAGGCCACACCGGGACTCCAAGTCCCTGAGCCCCGTTTGGGTGCCCACAGGTGCTGGAGGAGACAGAGCAGTACCTGGCACAGGTGCTGGACAAGGTGGTGCTGGCACTGCCCTCCTGGCGGGTGCAGGTGCAGAAGATGAAGGCCATCTACCTCGTCCTCAACCAGTGCAGCTTGGATGTCACCGAGAAGTGCCTCATTGCTGAGGTCTGGTGTCCCGTGCAGGACCTTACCCAGGTGCAGGAAGCCCTGCGCCAAGGATCGGTGCGTGTCCTCTTGTGGGGTTGCTTGGTTGGCTCTTGTCCTCATGCCAAGGTTGCTTTGGTTGACCCATGTTCTTGTGTCAAGAGCTGCTTGGTGTGCTCCCACCAGTGTCAAAGGTGGTACGTGATGGTACATGTTGTGGGGAGAGTTTTTATCCCCCACTCCTGGTGCCCTGAATCCCTTTGCCACCCAAACTTGGCGTCCACGCTGCTCCAACATGGCCGTGGGTTGGGTGCCGTGGGTCAGGCTCTGGATGCCTTCCCCACAGTACAAGAGTGGCTCAAGTGTGGAGTGCTTCGTGCAGAGGATCCCCACCTTGGAGAGCCCCCCAACTCTCATCCGCACCAACAAGTTCACTGCTGGCTTCCAGAGCATCGTGGATGCCTATGGGGTGGCCAGCTACCAGGAGGTGAACCCTGGTAAGGACCATCGTGTCCCCCTACTGCATCCCAGTGCTGACGGGGCCCTGTGTGACATGGTCCCTGTGCCTTGCAGCCCCCTATGCCATCATCACGTTCCCCTTCATCTTTGCCATCATGTTTGGGGATGTGGGGCATGGGCTACTCATGTTCCTCTTCGCCCTCTGGATGGTGCTGTTTGAGAACAGCCCCAGCCTGCAGCAGGGCAGCAACGAGGTGAGTGAGACATGGTGTGGGGCAGGGCTGGTTGGGTTGGAGGTAGAGGGCAAGCATTGGGTGTAGGGGTTGAAGGTAGAGGATGAGGTTGGAGGCATGTGATAGAGTTTGCTGTGGCACAGGGCCAGCTTGAGGCAAATTGAAGTTCTAGGCAGGGTGGTGTGGGTTGGGAACAGTGTGGGCTGGGGGTAGTGGTGTGGGACGTGGGAGCCACCTTTTGTTCCCCCCCCCAGATCTGGCAGATGTTCTTCAAGGGACGCTACCTCATCCTGCTCATGGGGGCCTTTTCCATCTACACCGGCTTCATCTACAATGAGTGTTTCAGCAAAGCCACTGTCATCTTCCCCTCGGCCTGGAGCGTGGCCACCATGGCCAACCACTCCTCCTGGAGGTGGGTCCCCATTTTTCCTTGTAACCCTGGTCCTGCCCACACTGACGCCTCGTTCTGCCCACAGCTCTGCCTACCTTGCCACCCACCAATCCCTCACCCTGGACCCCAATGTCACTGGTGTGTTCCGAGGGCCCTATCCTTTTGGCATTGACCCGGTCAGTATCCCATGGGGGAAAGGCAGGATGGGACCCTCTCTGGAGTGGCTGGGCATCTCGCTCATGTTGTCCTTGGCAGATCTGGAGCTTAGCCACCAACCACCTCAACTTCCTCAACTCCTTCAAAATGAAGATGTCAGTGGTGCTGGGCATCGTGCACATGGGTTTCGGCGTGCTGCTAGGCATCTTCAACCACGTGTGAGTCCCCCATTGGATCATGCTAAGGAAATGGTGGCAGGATGGGGTGGGCAAGCAGGGTCCTGTATCGGAGCTGAGCTGAGTGCAAACCTCATCATTGACTCCTGCTCAGGCACTTCCGACAGTGGCACCGGCTGGTGCTGGAGCTCCTACCTGAGGTGGTCTTCTTGCTGGCCCTCTTTGGCTACCTTGTCTTCCTCATCTTCTACAAGTGGGTCAAGTTCAGCGCCGCCGACTCCCAGGTGGCTCCCAGCATCCTCATCCACTTCATCGATATGTTCCTCTTCACCTCCAATGCTGACA